TCTGACTTGCTCCTAAAGCTAGTTTTCACACATTTCAGTGAAAATCTTTTACACTGAAACGCTGTAGCAATTTCTTCCACACCTTTGTTCATTAAAATAATCCTTGAATTTACTTTTAAAAGTAATTTACCGTATGCTTCAAAAGGAAACACTTGAGTTCATTTTAATCTCTTGTTCATACTGTGTTTTCCAGACACAGCAAATAGGCTGACATAGATTGTTCTTGACCTGGAAGGTTGATTTTTTTTTTATTTTATTTTTAATTTTAAATGCCAAATTACCCTTGTTTTGAAAATGTTGTGTGTACAAAGGGTACATAAAACATGTCTGGATCATGTAAGAGGAGGAGCCAGTTTAAGGAATTTAACTTTCTGCTTTTAGTGCACTGCAAAAACTGTGGACTTCACCATCTGGTCTTCTGCATTTTTTGTCATCTGTGCTTCCTTACTGCTTTGTAGGGAGTTTAGGTTTGAAGTTTGTCTTTGCTGATAACTCGTGTGTGTTGGTTGTTATTCGTGTCTAATCTTACACGTTTACATGAACGAAAAAAACAGATAACATTGTAGGAATTCTTTGCCGTTGTTTCTGAGTAACATTATTGTGGTCTTTATTTAAAAATATAATTTATTTTTCCTAGTGTATTGCAATCAAAGCTCTGTACTACACTGAAGAGGCTTTTTAAAATTGTTAGAATGTTCTTGTACAATTTGTAAGAATAGGCACCTTGTCACTTCTTTGTCTTCAGCTTCCATGCACTTTACTTTTTCTCATTTGAATCAGTATTTTCTGCTTTAATGCACATCATAAAAACTGTATGTTGCATTGCAGGTGGTGAAACTATTAAAAGTATAAGCCAGCAGTCTGGTGCTAGAATAGAACTTCAGAGAAACCCTCCACCTAATGCAGATCCAAACATGAAGATGTTTACTATCCGAGGAACACCCCAGCAAATAGATTATGCACGACAACTTATAGAAGAAAAGATTGGAGTGAGTGTTTAACTGGTTTTTGGTCTCCTGTTATAACTAAACAGAACTGCAAGCAAGGCTCCTTCGTGGAGACTTTTCTTCCCTTTTGCTTCCAGTTCAATCAGAAAATAAACTGGTAATAGAAAATTAGAATCCATATTTAAAGTAATATAAACAAAACAATGCACCAAAAGCAACAAAATCTTGAAATGGAAATTGTTGGTTTTTTCAGTGTAATATGGTGTGTTTTTAAATGATGTGTTCCTGAATATGCCTTCTTTGTGAATATGAAAAATGTGATGAGTTCAAAGATACCAGTGGTATTCTTAAAGCCACTAAATTGTGTTTAGTTTCTGTCTCAGTATGTTTAAGTAAAGTTTTAATCCAAGTTTACACCTTCAGTTTTATTGCACTTTTGTTTGCATGTAGTCAAATTTACTGGTGGCTTTTTGTACCTGATATTACAAACTGGTTTAATTAGCAGGATTAGTCAGATTTAGGTGTATTGGTTTGTTTTAAAACTGGTAGTCTCGTATTAGTCTGGGAGGAGTTTAAGACAACCTATGGAAAAATCCATCTTTTATTTGTAAAATTCTTTACTTCCTCAAGAAAACTGAAAGAAATGCAACTTTTTAGTTATTACTGCCACAGCTGCTTTAAAGTGTTCTCTTTAATTAGCCCTAAGTCTAATTAATCTTAAAATTGCCTGTTTTCAGCAGGATTGCTATTTAACAGCAGTCAAATCTTTTCGATTGTATTCTTAGTGTTCAGATAAATGCTTCTAAACTGCTGAAAAATGGAGAACCTCAAGGTTTGTTTTCATCTCTGTGCTGTTCTTGTTACAGGGTCCAGTGAATCCATTGGGTCCACCCGTTCCCCATGGACCTCATGGTGTTGTTCCTGGCCCACATGGACCTCCTGGCCCACCAGGTCCTGGTGCTCCCATGGGGCCATATAATCCAGCTCCTTATAATCCAGGGCCTCCTGGCCCTGCCCCTCAGTAAGTCCTGCTCCAGCCACCTTCCTTCTTGCAGGGTGACCCTGGCTCTGGCTCTCCCTGATGTGTGTGCCTTGATCTTTTCCAGTGGTCCTCCAGCTCCATATGCTCCACAAGGATGGGGAAATGCTTATCCACACTGGCAGCCACCAAACCCACCAGATCCAGGTAAGGAATGTCACAGCTGCACTGCAGGGTGGGTATCCTGGAAATACAGCCCTTCTGTCCTTCCAAGTGTCACTGCACAGCTCACTTGTGTCACACTGGTAAATCTGAGCAGCTCCTCTCTCAGGCTTTGCTTTACTGTTTGTCACTTTACCTGCGTTTTACACTTTCCACATGTTGCTTGTGAGATGTTGAAATCTGTTAGAGTTGGAATATGCTTTTTTTTACAAATGTTATTGATACTGCATCCCTGTTTATGATACTTTTTGCAAGAATCTTGGTTCACTGGTTTTGTGCAGTTCAGTTTTCTTACAGTTCATGTTTTTCCACTGAGAATGTGTTTTCTTTCTCTAATAGTAAATGACTTTGTATTTTATTTTACACAATCTCCCTGATCTGTCTTTGCATAGTTTATGCTCTATTATGTTTTAGCTTTTGTTGACCTATGAGGATTGCTTCTCAGACTCTGATACAGGTGTATTTTGTTGAGCCCCTGTTGAACTGCTGTTAATACAGTAAAACTAGTCAGGGTTGTGGTATTTTGAACTCTTGCTTATAATAGTTCTGTATTTTCTTCTGAAAGCCATCAATGTAGAATTTATTTCTTCTATTTCTGATTATCTTTGTCAAGACTGGGAGTTTTTACTGAATTATAACTTCCCAAAGTTGTAGTATCCTGCTTTTCTTAAAGTTTACATCCTTTGGTTGGAGTAGAGCATGTGGGGGAACGGAACTGCAGCCACAGAAGGCATGGTAAGGTAGATGCTTGAGTCTGTTGTACCTCATCTGTTTGAGGTGGAACTTCCTCAGAACTTGAGCCAAAAGACCTCCATTTCATTTTTGTTATAAATGGAATCAGTATTTTTGGATAAGCCACTGTTCCTGACACAGGTTCCATTAGTGGAAAAGGGGAGGATGTCTGTCACATACTGTGTCTTTTCAAAGAACTATCTCTGGCTTTACTTACCAAGCTTTTGCAAAAGGTAGCTCTGCATGCATTCAGTTAGTATTTAAAAATGCCTATTGTCATTATTTAAATGTAGAATGATTCAAAGTGACTTAAAGTCTCAGCATACCAAAAGTGTCATTTAATGCAAAACCACTGCTAAAATCTTAGACTGTTTTGAATCACATTTTCGATTTTTTATGAAGTAATTTATCTACATAAAGATGTGTAAGAAAAAATGGCAAATACTCTCTTAATGTCACCTTGATGATTTTGTAATTTTTTTGATAAATACTCATCTTAAAAAAATCTAATGAAGTTTTCCTATGTGCAGCTGAAGTTGGTGTTTCTTTTGATATGTATTTTTTTGGATGAATTTTCTACAGTTTTCACTTAGTTGCTCATTTCAGTGTAACAAATGGGTTGTTCTAGTATTTTTTTCAGAGGTGCTTTCTCCAGAGCCATGCTTGTCACGTGAAAGTGGAGCTAGTTACTACAGTCAGATTTCTTTGGAAATTTAATGAATCCTGCTCTTTTGTTCTCCCACTGTAGAGGGGAAGGAGGGGGGGAGTCGAGCAATGGCTTATTTGATATTTGCAGGTAACCTTAGAATATAGTACATGTTAGTTTAAATCCACTATTGTTGATGCAAGCAGTGTAATTTAAAAAGGAAATAGTGTGTTAACATTTTTTTCTGTATGCTGATACTACTGTGTGCATTTGAAGTGGCTACATCTGACTTTTGTCACAGTATTTCATTTAACATTAATTTTATTGTTGTGATTTCTTCTTGAATGCCTTTTTCAAGGGATTTCTTCTTTTCCATTACTTGCTGCCTTACCTATTTTGTGTTTGGGGAGGATTATATTTCCATTCTCATATATAGTTACTCTAAAATATCAGTTATATCCATATCCTTATGTGAAATTCTCTCCTCATTTGGCTGCATTTATTTGCAGAAATAAGTACTCTTTGTGAATGCAAGTATTGTATGCAAAGATATGATGGTTGGGTAAAACGTTATGTTCTCTAATAGTAGATTTTCAGGTGTTGTGGGTTACCAGTCTGGTAATGTAATCAATCTGTGATTCAGCAAGAATAAGCCATTCCTAAAGGATAAATGTGAAAAACAGAGAAACAAAACTCTAGGAAACAGCATCATTGGCCTACCTAGATGTAGATAAAAATAAGGAACCATGGGAATAGTTCCAGAAGGTGCAGATGTTGCTATTATTTATTATACTAAAAGCTATAAGTAAATAGTGATGCTTAATAGCCATGTGTGGGGATTTAGGTTCTTAACATGCTGATTGTTTCTGTGTTTGACTGTGACCTTAAAGTTGAACTGCCATGCATTGCAAATACCCAGTAAGCTTTGTATTCTTCTGTTTCAGAAATATGTTTTTGGCATGCCTCCTGCACCGGTGCCAGTGTCATTAGCGTGAGGTTATAACCAAAGTAAAACCACTGAAATCGTTTGGTGCTAGAATGATTCATTGCTGATTAACATGACTGTTTAATTAAACTTGCCAAGTCTGTTTCTGCTTATCCCATTGAAAAAGTAATGAGTGGCATTGTAGTAGTAAGGGTTCTAAAATAATTTTATCTCGCCAGCCCTATGAAAGTACACTTTGTACAGCTCACTGTTCTGAAACCCGAGCAAAAGTTTGTGCTAGAAAGAAAAAATACTTTAAAGATGTACATGGTTATTTTGTTTAGATGGATTTTTTCTTGGAGGAAAATAAGAGTGTGTAGGACAGGATTAATTGAGGGCAGCATTCTGTTTGTATGTAGTTCTACTTTTATAAATGTTTCTGTTCTGTTTCCATAGGTAAGCCAGGAACAGATCCCAATTCAGCAGCGTGGGCAGCTTATTATGCTCACTATTACCAACAGCAAGCACAGCCACCTCCTGCAGCCCCTCCTGGTGGACCAGCTACCACCCAAACCAATGGCCAAGGTATTTGTTCAGTCAGATGGACACATTTCTCATTGCTGCAGCTCTGAATGCCCAGTTGTTTTTTACTCCTGTCTTCATACATTCGGTCCATTTATTTAAGTAGCTGTTTTTCTTTGAAAATTATTGCTTACAGCCTTCAACAGTGCTTTTCTTAATTTCAGCAGTAGTAAGGGTAATGTATTTGTTTTGCAATATGCTCCAAAGACAATTTTGCCACATCTTTGGCTGACTAAATGACTACACAGAGCAGTCAGTCATAACTAAAAATTATTGTCATTTACTTAAATAGTTGCATCACTTCCATTGGGTTTAGGACAATTACAGTTGTGGTATTTAGTTGTGTTATTATAACTTATGCCTGGATGAGGCTTACCACTTGAATTTGGATAGTATTTTGTGTTGTGAGTGATGTGCACTTCCTGAATCTTGAAAACATGCTGAGCACTTTAAACATTTCTTTGTGGTATCTTTTGCTAATACTTTATATTTGTAGTTGCTGCTACCACAAAGGTTTGTAGTGTCAGATTTGAGTGCTGTCATCTGGGATTGTTCCTGAAAATCTCAGTTGATGATTTGTATGTATGAAGCAAACCTCAGTAGTTTTAGTTTAACTGGTTTTAATGTAATTCAGGAGATCAGCCAAATCCAGCACCAGCAGGGCAAGTTGACTATACCAAGGCCTGGGAGGAGTACTACAAAAAAATGGGTAAGTGTGCAGGGTTTTTTTTCTGTTGTTGCTTAGTGGAATGTTTTAGGAGGCTTGCTTGCTTTTTTACCCCAAAAAAATTAAAATGCACAATCCCCAAGTCTTCTGAAGTGTACACTGCTGAAGGCCCTGTTGAAAAACAGACTCAACTTTTGTGTTGTGTTTAAGGCAGTTATTGGCACTAATGCTAGTAATGGCTTCACAGAAATACTTCATACTTACTGAGATGTCTGTATTTAATCCTTGGGAAACAACATCTTTTAAATGCCTCAACCTGACTATTTTAAAGTATAGTTTCTAAATTTTGGAGTTGAACTTTGATCTACTTTATGAAGCTGTTTTTTCTTGTTTAGCAGCTGTTTCCTAATACTCTTCAGATTACCTGTGATTTTTCTTTTTCCTTGTAACTTGCTTTCTGTGTTCCAGGTTGCAAAACCATCATGATAAGCTTTCATTTATATCTAATGCTTTTTTTGTAAATAGCATTAGCTTTGCAGCACTTCAGAGCTACATTTAAACTACAGGTTATATGTTGTTGCTAACTTTTTTCCCTCAAGTATTTTGCTTGAGCTGACTTACCAAAATGCAATTAAATTGCTGGTGCAGTTGATTATTTGCATTTAGATTTATTACCATGCTTAATTCCTCTTACCAACTTTCTGCCATGTTCATCTTGAATTATTTGCCAAGACGTAACTGTCTTTATTTTGGCACAGCAGAATTGGTGAAGTAGAAAATGTATATAATAATTATTTACTTCAAGAACTGTGGATCAGACCAAGAAAATGCCAGCAGAACTCCCAAACACTTGATCTCTAAGATGTGATAGGCCTTTCCATTTTCCTTCTTCCTGGTTCAGTTAACTATTTATTTTTACTTTATTGTTCTGTCAGTTGAGGTCACATTCTTAAATGCAAAGTTGTGGGTGTTTTTCATAGTCTTTTTAAAAATAATGTAATTTGTTGGCAGGGGCTCCACAATCTTTTTAATTTGCTATCTCTGGAAAGCAAAGTCTGGGTTGCACTAGTCTTGCATTTGCTCTGATTAAATCATAACTAGTCAGAAGGTGTTGGGATAGTTTCTGGGAGCAATTCCAAAATGGAGTGTAATCCAAAAAAAAAATTACGAGATAAAAATAGTTGCACTTAAAATGCAAAATTTAGAAAATACCAATACAATCAAATAAGAGGAAAAACACGAGGGCAGTTCTGACCTTAATTTCTTTTTCTAGTTTGGATTGAGTTCTTGGCCTGAAGGAGAGCTCTTGATGTCTGGGGTTGTGTAACTTGACTGTGCAAATCATGAGAACTTTTGGCTTCAGAATCTTGATAGGGTAGATACCATTTCTCTTAAGATCCACTTAGGAAAGAGGAATTCAGCTTGAGCTGTTTAATCCTAAATGATACTCCAATAATATTAAGTAGCAAAAGATCTGATGAACAGGAAGGCTGTCCCAGCAGCAGGTTCATGTGGTCTTTGAGCTCTCAGTGCTGTACATGGATCTTGTAGATGACCCAGACTATTTGCTTTGTACCCTACTTCTTAAATCAAGAAAATGTCTTTTAAATCTCCCTTTAGTATTACCTGGTAACAAGACAATAATTTAACTTTCAGAGACATAAAGATGCTGTTACCTTGAGTTGGAGACACGGTATTTTTATTTTTCCATAGAAAATCTGAAATAAAGATTGTGTAACTGGGCCATAAAAATCTCTCAGGAATAACTGTTTCTTCTAAACATGAAGTCATGTTTTAGTAAATTATTTATATGTCTCCACTGAAATTTGTAAATTTATCATTTAAAGTCATTGCTGTATATTGTGGGCTTGACTTACATAGTGAAGGGATTCCATAATAAAATAGCGAAACTGCTCTTAAAAGTTTCCTCATGATTGTAGCAGGAAAGAAGACACAGTTTTCTCTTGCTGGAATTTCGGTGATGTTGAGTTGTAAAATCTGGTGGCATTTTCTTTCTCAGCCTTCCTTGAAGGGGAGTTACTCTGTGTTTCTTGTGTTTCCTTTGTCTGTAAGTTTATCAGTGTAATTTGTTGATTTGGGTATGAGCAATATCCTGTTCCAGTGCAGTTCCTGCACTGAAGGGAGATTTGGACTAAACTGCTGAGTTTCCATGTGTAGGTTCAGAAGTACTTGTACCTAAAATACCCATTTCAGGACAGAAGTCCAGTTTGACATCTTTGAATAGATGTTAAATTTGCCATATTTGATTTATTACTCGAATTTCAGTGCTGCCTTGAGATAGTTTGGTGAATGTCAGAAAATTCTTGAGTTTTAATGCACAAAAAATCCCTTTAGCTTTGACATTCAGCTGTGCTGACAATAAGTTAAATGTTACAATTATTAAATTAATAGTGAACGTGAGAAAAGGGTGTCCTGGCATAATTTGTAATCATATTAAAGATCATTTTTGTTACAATATGCACTTCTGATTAATTATTTTAAGTTGTGGTAAACTACAACTTTTAAAATGTGCTTACAGCTCTAAAGATTTGGAGAAATTTAAGATTTTCTAGGAAAACAATTGCTTTACTGTATAACCCCAAAAAAGATGGATGGGTTTTTATAACTTACCTGCATTGTAAGTGGAAAAGTTATGGCAGTTGTGTAGATGGTTGGAAAATGGAAAGTTGTGTGTTGGTGGCTTCCAGGATGGTGCTTTGCCAAATGTTCACATCCTCTGCTCACACTTCATGTGTTTGAGAGGATTGGAAGTCTACACATGTAGGAGAGTGGGAATAGCTGGCAATAAAAATGAAAATTAGATAAAAAATGGTGAAGAGAGTGGTGCTAAGTGGGGTGTGTTTGATGTTTGTGAAGTTAGGGAAAAAGGAGGTAAAGCTGCCTGTGACAAATATTCCTTGGCAGAACAACATGACTGAGGTCCTAAAAGGTTGGCTGTGATTTTGTTTGGGGTTTGTAATATGCTGCAGAGTCCTGGTGTGTCAGTGTTGGAGTGTTTAATCTACCAGTTGGTTTTATTGCAAGGATCAGTAGTTCTGAGCTGTAAGTCTGGGAGGGTGTGTGCACACTGTGTGTATGCACTGTTATTTCTGGAGGATTGGAGCTTTAGCAAAGGTTGGAAGGAGAAGTTTCAGGACTGTGTTCTGTGCTGGAGTAAATGTTTACAAAAATTATTGCTCTTTTTGAAAAATGTGATCTGCAGTGTCCCAGCCATTGCACGAGGGATGCCAGAATTGTGGGAGTGTATGAATTGGTATGTGCTGAGCTTGTGAGTGCAGCCTGTAAAATAAGGTAAAATCAGGCTAGATGGAGTACAGAAAGTTTTGCCTCTTTATGTATGTTTTAATGCTGCCATTGCTCAGATCAGCAGGCTTTAAACTATCATGAGTGTGAATCAAGAGGCAGAAAAAACTGTCCTCGGGGTTCCTCAATTTGACTTTACACGGGAATCATGCTGGTGAGGCCACCCCTGGAGTGCTGTGTCCAGCTCTGGGCCCTCAGTTCAGGAAGGACATGGAGGGGCTGGAGCAGGTCCAGAG